ACAATATTTCTGGAAAGAACAGCTGGTTCACCTTTGCAGAGGAGAGTCTGTCCAGGGCTGTGAGCAATTTTAACGTTATCTCCTTGAATTAGTTAAATATAATTAATTTTCATATTAAATTTCTTGTTACCAAGCTGGTCTTTTTATTTTGATTTCTGCATTTGTTTCTTTTTAAAAAGACCACACCAATATATTGAACTCTCAATATAAGATGAAAATAGTCTTGGAGTCAGTTTTGTGCTTCTGGAGTACATGGCCTCTCCACATCTGGGAAAGGAGGACACTGCTTCAGGTCTGTGTCCCTGAGTCTGCTCTCATACCTCTGTCTCATCTTCTTCAGTGCATTGAGAGTCAGCTTCACTGGTCTAATCTCCACATTCTGAGAAAACTACGCTCCTTTCAGTTTGTGGGCAGGTTTAAGTCAATGCATAAAAATTATGGGATCTAGTTATGCAATAACTTGCAATTTATCAAATTTTCATGAGAGCAAAATTTTTGCTAAAGATATTTAGTCACTTCTGGCCCTTTAAGTGACTTGTTAGACTGTGCTACTCTGCAGGTAAAATAAAATACTTACTAACAAAAACATCTGAACCTCTAACCAGACTATGTCAAATAAATTTGTGTAAAAGGGGGGCAAATAAAAGGGTAAAAAGAGGTAGAAAACAGGTAAAATTATGCAAAATGTAATAAAGTAGAAAACTCACCTTGGGCTTGTAAAACAACAGTCATAAACTAAACAAAAAGATTTGTTCTTTTCCTTATCTCTAGTGGTATGTTCATAATCATGAGGGTGTTAAAATTATAAATATTAATTTAGATAGAGCATATATTTTGTTAAAAATATAGGGTCTGGCAGAAATAACGCACCTATTTTATTACAAAATATTTTATTACAAAAACACAAGCATGTAATTCTGTAACATAACAATATCACATCGAGCACACCACATGACATTTTAGGTGAAATGTTCAAATTAAAAACTATAAATTATTACACTCATATTATTACCTTACCAACCATACTCAAGCAGGAGTTAGTTCTGCCAGACCTTGTATATCAAGTTTATTCTGATAATCAGGAGATGACATATAGATTGTAATTTGATTAAAACCGACCCCCTATGAGCCTTTTTATGTATCTCTTAGGATGGAAGTTTTATTCACAGATCTATTTATCTAACTACCTTATGTTGTCTGACAAAAAGAAAGAGAAATTAATAAATAACTACAGTTCTCTATAGATAGTCCAAAATGTAAAACCACTAAACACCTCAGTTCTTTGAAATTTTTTCAATTTTAAATGTTTGTTTATCATACCTAGCTATTTAATACCTCATGCCAAGGGGAAAATGAGGACCTAAAATTTAGTAAATATTTTGTTACAATTTGTAGAAAACCAAAACCTTGAAGAACAGAGATTCTCTCACACACACCCTAGGATAAGCAGACAAAAACATTCCACCAGCTCAGCCCCCAGAAGACTGTCTTGGGAACACAAAGGCAGTATGGAACCAAGGTGATGCACTGGAGTTTTTATTAGCCCATTCTAATTAGCAGCAGCCCTGCTAGAAAAAGGACTCCAGAGGCATTCCCCTTAATGGGCAAGCAAAAAAACAACCCAAAGCTGTCTAACTGTGCTCTGCACACAGCTGTGGTGAGAGCAAGACATTGTGGGTGGTAGATGGACCTGAGACTGGAGCTAATGGCGGCAAACAGGAGGCCCGGGAGCCAAATCCAGCCCTCTACCTCATTTCTGTGTGGTAGCAGCTCCAAGCTCCTTGCCCCTAGTTAAAGAGCAGTTACATTTATACAGTACTAACGTTACATTTGGCCCTTTGAAGGCAACCGTGAGGCAGAGGTGGCCCCTGGTGAAAATGAGTTTGACACCCCTGATAGATCCAAGTCTATTGAGGGGACAGACTTTGAGACCTTTGGCACATCACACACAATCTCTGAGGCTGAGTTTCTCTGTAGATAAAATAGGATGTTGAAATCTGTCCCACAGAATACTGTCACAAATTAAATGTGACTAAGGTGTGATCACTATTGAATACTACATTTGCTCATGTGGACAAAGGGGAAGCTGTACATTAGCTGATAACTGTCAGTGGAGAAAGCAGGCTCTGATAAAGAGTATGTTTTATTCTGATGTCACAGATTACCATTGAAAGCCACAGTAGACTAACAGAATCTGGGTTCTATTTTAAATCAGTGAATATTTTAGCTTTGTCCATGGGTCCTTTATACATGTTCCTTGATGGCCTTCCCCTATTTTCCCCCATTATCCCTCTCCGCCCTCCCCTCTGGTTACTGTCAGTTTGTACTTTATTTCAGTGTTTCTGGTTGCTTGCTTTTTTGTTTTGTTGATTAGGTTCCACTTATAGGTGAGATCATTGAACAACAATAAAACATGAAAAAATAAAAAAGATTTTAAAAATCATATAGAAATTCAGTTCTAACATAAAGTATATAAAATATAAAGCAAAATTATAATTTATATAGAATGTAAAATATATCTGCACTTGTATAAGCATATATTCAAATATGTATGTACATAATTATAGCTTTATCATTTATAAATGAGTATACACTATAATATTGGATATAAAAATTACTTAAACCACTTTTTCTTTGTTCTTATCTAACAAATAAAATACATATTTTAATAGATTTCAGGTTTTCATCATGAAAATAAAAGAGAAATAAACAAAAAATATTTTAGTTTGTGGGTCTTGTGGTCTCTATTGCAACTACCCAACTCTGCCATCCTAGCAGAAAATCTGTGTAGGGTAGAGTAGAAGGAGATAGATTGGGGGCTCATGATAGCATTCCAGGCAAGGTGCCAGACTGAACTGGAGAAGCACTGGGGTTGGAGGGAAGTGAGAAGACCTGATAACATCCACTCCGGAGATCTGACAAGCTGCTAAGGAGTAAGATGCAGTGAGAAGAATCAAGGTGACTCCTATGATGTGGGTACCATGCACGGACTTGGAGGAGGCTGAAGAAGAAACAGAGTGGGCAGGAAAGGAGACTCAAGAGTCTGTTTTAGACCCTGAAATCTGAGATGTCCATGAGAGCTCCCACTGTGGCAAGTAGGTAGCCGGACTGATGTGTTTTGAAATGAAGGGGTTGGCCTGGGCTAGAGCCAAAAATTGAATTTGTTAGACTATTTATGTATGATATGTAGCTTGCTGCACTGTGGTATATTCATGAGGTATGGAAGGAAATTTTTTAGTATAATCAATGGGATAGTACTAGCCTAGAATCTGCACTTCCTATTCTAAAACTGTAAATAATCTATGGAAAATTTCTACCCTGTCAGCATGGCCAAGTTAGTTGGGCTTTGTCCATGAAGCAAAAGGTCACTGGTTTAATTCCCAGTCAGGGCACATGCCTGGGTTGTGGTTCTGTTCCCCAGTTGGGGTGCATATGAGAAGCAATGAATCAATTTCTCTCTTGCATAGATGTTTCTGTCCCTCTCTTTCTCCCTACCTTCCCCTCTTCTAAATAAGTAAAATCTTTAAAATTAATAATAGTCTACTGAAAGTTTTTATGTATTTATTATAGAGATCAGCAAACTAAGGCACATGGGCCAAATCCAGACCACTGACTGTTTTTGTATGGTCTGCACACTAAGAATAGCTTTTACATTTTTAAACTTTTTATTTATTTTTTATATAAAGAGAGGGATTTATTTTGAGGTATTGGCTCGTGCAATTATGGAAACTTGGCAAGTCCAAAATCTTGATGAGGTAGGTGAGCAGTCTGGGGACTCAGGGAAGGATTGCAGTTTGAATTCAAAAGCTGTCTGCTTTCTTTGGTCTTTTTTTTTTTTCAGATTTAAAAAAAAATTATTGACACTATTATAGATATCCCCCCAAAGCAGTCTGTTAGCAGGATTCTTTTTTGCCCGGGGAGAAGGGTCAGTAACTGAGGAACAGCTAAATTTATACAGGGCAAGGGGAGAGGGAGGGGCATGGAGCTTCCAAGCCCCTTATATGTGCTCCATCCTCCCAGCACTTTGATGTGCTCACCAGCAGAAAGGCTAAATTTTTATATTTTTAAATTGTTGGGGGGTGGAAATTGAAAAAGAAATGACATTTTACAAAACATGAACATTTTACAAAATTTAAATTTCAGTGTCCATAAAGTTTCACTGGAATGCAGCCACACTGACTCATTCACATGACGTCTGTGACTGCTTTTGCACCAATAGAGAGTTGAGTACTTGCAATAGAGCCCATGTGGCCCGCAAAGGTTATGGTATTTACTCTCTAGTCTTCTACAGAAAATATTTTCCTACCTCTAATCTATAACCTAAATGTAAGTGTGGACTTTTACTAAGTTCTTATAGGAGGCAATCTATAGGAAAGCTAAGTATGAGGTTCAACCAATAACAATGTAATTTTTTAGAGAAATAGTATAATCCCAAGAAGAAAAATTTTGGAAAGATAGACCAATAATCCAATTAAGACAACCTCCTACAGGAAATAAAATCAAAGGATCTAATTGAAAGTTTATTTTGGTATCTACCACTTCAACATCTAGTTTTTCATGCTAACAGGAAAACATGATGACAATCAACAAACCCCAAAAATGCTAATGAAGAAGAGCAAAAGGGAAATTATGCACAAAGTTTTGTATAAGAAAGCTCAGATTTGAGATCCTATCAGGGATTCATATTACTTATAGCCTGAAAGCTTTAAATAGAATGGGAGTTTTCTATTTAATATTATTTATGATGGGATCATTATCACAGGATGAAAAATTCTAACTAATAATGGACGTAAAGCAAAGTTTGATGAGCCAGTGCTACTATCTACTAAGGGATGATAGAGAATTTTCTATGGAGAAAAGTAGATTTTGTAAAAAAGAGATGTACACACCTTTTTGTACATTTTTATCTGTAATTTGCATGTACATTAACACATTTCATACCCCATCTGCTGTGATTGGTGGAAGTTCTTCAACCAGCAAATATCTTGTGCCCAACATAAACAGAATGGGTTAGGAGAGTTCCAGGAGATTGGAGCAGAGTGGAAGGGGGCTTCTACAGCATCATGTGAGTTTCTCCTCTCACCTGTGATTAAACAAGGATGCCTTTGTGCATAAGAGTTGCCATAGTCCCAGCTAACAACTTAGGGGCAATGATAGGAACTGTCATCACAAATGTTACTTAATAAAGACAGTTAGTATAAAGAGGGATGTTACATTTAAGAAACATAATAACTTTATGACAATCACACTTAAAAATATAATATCCACATAATAACTGCATTGCCTTTGTCATACCCAATAATATTAACAATATTCAAGCATCATTTAATAACTAACTGTATTAGTGTCCTAGGGCTGCCGTAACAAAACACTGAGTGGCTTAAACAACAGAAGTTTTATTTTCTTACAGTCTGGAAACTAGAAATTCAAGATCAAGGTGTCAACAGGTTTGCTTTCTTTTGAAGCCTCTCTCATTGGCTTATTGATTGCTGTCTTCTCACTGTGTCCTCACATGGCCTTCCTTCAGTGCATGTACATGCCTGGTCTTTGTGAATCCAAATTTCTGGTCAGTTTGGATTACGATCTGACCCTAATACTGTATTTTTAACTCAGTCACCTCCTGGAAGATGGTATCTCCAACTAAGTTCACATTCTGAAGTTTGCAGGTTAGGACTTCAGCAAACGAATCAAGGGGCACAATTCAGTCCATAACACTAACTGTATCACATTCTTTCTTTATAGTCTCTTTATATGACTGCTTCTTCCACCCTCCATCTTCTTTACATGCACTAACATATGGAACGAGCAATACATTTCCCTGTGGATTGTCCTACATCCTGAATTTGTTTGCTTCTTTCTCATGAGGCTCATTTGTTCTTCCTCTATTCCCTAAATTCTTGTAAACTGACTAGGTGTTAGATTCAAGGGCTCAAATGGACTTAGGTTTAATGACTTGACCAGACCACCTCATAGGTGGTACTTGCACTTCCTACTCCATCAGAGGGACACCATGCCTTCATGACCAGCTCACTTTTAGTTTTTCTGAAAACAGTTTTGTAAAGCCCTTTCTGAAGGCTTGGCAGTTCACTTCATTTACAAAGTGCTGTTAGGTACAGGGTACATTTGAGGACATGCTGCAAAGGTAACAGGTACTCCTCTTACCACAGGAGCCTTTGCTTGCCAAAAGATCTTGACAGTATCCACTCCAGGTCAACCCTTAAAGACCATCTCACATCAGGTCTGGAATGGCTCCTGATGTCCCCCTCTCCTTTTGCCACCAGGCACCTTCCTGCCTACCCCTAGCTGCAACTTCCCTGACTGACCTGAAGAGCGACAACGACGACAATGATGATGATATTGCATTTCCCCCCTGCATTGTTTATTTGGAAAATTGTTCTAGGTTAAGGAAACTGCCTCACCTCCAGAAATGCATCTGAGAATGTCAGATGTTCCTAGACTCTTTTCCTAGCACTGAGGCATGTTCAGAGTGTATTTAGAAATATGGGTGGTGATTAGGGGAACACAGAAGGGACTTTATCCTTTTTTTTTTCCCTTGGGAGGATACATTCCTCATATCACTTCAGAATCAAAGAAGAAAGATGGATTCATTCTTATGTTCTATAGCTTTTGTTTTTACTTCAGGCACTTAAAAGTGTAAATTTATAGATAATTTAAATTCACACCAAATTTCAGTTCACATTCTTAAGTTTATATTATAGCATGCATAATGCACAATGCCCTCTGGGCTCTAGATTTATTTAGATTTCAAAACCAGAGGTAAATCTGAAATATGCACAGGATTGAATACAGTAAGGGCTTATGTGCCATTAATTGCACTTCTTCATTGTCTTCTCTATTAAATAACTAGTTACACTTTATGCCTTTCTATTTCTCTAGATGCACTTTGGGAACCCACTTCTCCACTGCTAAATATAGGAAACACTATAATAAATACAATAATTCTCTGTGCTAAAGAATACTTCAAGTGCTTTAAAGCAAGTAAAGGACTTTCATTCCTGACCTTGTCACTAACCTGTGTCTGTAAAGGAGTCCACTGAAATGCCACATAATGTGACTGGTATGTTCATCTGAGTTTCCCACTGAACATGATGTTCAGGGAAAGTATTGCCATGGTACATTTTTCAAATACACACTTTAATATTTCTACTAAGTATTAGGAAATGTACATAGTTCTGGTTTCTAATGTCACACTCCCTTCAGGCGTCTGGCTGTCAGTCCCCACATTGCCTACATCCAAGCCTGCATGAAGCTCTTATATCTGTCTCTCCTCCCCAGCACCTTAGTGTCTGTGGCATTGCTGTTTGTCACTGCAGCCACCACACCCGTACACCACAGCTGCTATTCCCTACTGTCTTGTATCTCTTTACTTATTTATTTTTTTAAAGATTTTATTTATTTATCTTTAGAGGGAAAGGGGGGAAGGAGAGAGTGAGAGAAACATCAATGTATGGTTGCCTTTTGTGCATTCCCTGCCGGGAACTGGCCTACAACCCAGGCATGTGCCCTGACTGGGAACTGAACTGCGATCCTGTGGTTTACAGGCCCGTGCTCAATCCACTGTGCTACACCAGCCAGGGCTACTGTCTTGTATCTCTTCTTCCTCTTTTTCCTTGGGTATTTTTTTCTTTTTATTTTTTTCTTTTTATTGTTATTCAAGTACAGTCGTCTCCATTTTCCTCCCACCACAGCCCCATACTCCACCTACCCTCACCTCCCACCTCTGAACCTACCCCCTTTGGCTTTGTCCATGGGTCCTTTATACATGTTGACAACCCTTCCCCTTCTTACGTGGGTTTTCCCCTCCTCCCCCACTGGTTGCTGTCAGTTTGTTATTTATTTCAGTGTCACTGGTTATATTTTGCTTATTTGTTTTATTGATTAGGTTCCACTTACAGATGAGATTATATGGTATTTTTTTAACCTCCTGATTTATTTCACTTAGCATAATGCTCTCAAATTCCATCCATGCTGTCACAAAGAGTAGAAGCTCCTTCTTTCTTTTTGCTTACTGCTAGAATTATATCCTAAGAACCCTGAAACACCAATTCAAAAGAACCTATGCATCCCAATGTTCATAGCAGCACAAGTTACAAATAGCTGGGTAATGGAAGCAACTTAAGTGCCTACCAGTAAATGAGTGCATCAAAAAACTATGGTACGTTTTCTTTCATTTCTTGATGTGTTCCAGCTTTAAGTCATGGAATGCCTTTGTCATACCCGAAGAAATTAATAATACCCAATGAAAAGTAACTTTATAAAACAGAAAGGGAGAATGACTTGGCCAACAGAAGCCCAGTGCAGGCAAATGACATATAAAGTCACCAATTTAGGGACAAAAGTGAACTCATGTCCAGCATTCCAGTTCAGCATGCTGCCTTTAAAGTAAATTAACAACATTTAAAAACCATTTTATGAAGATATAATTCACATATTTTACAGTTGACCCATTTCAGGCATACAGTTTAATGGCTTTTAGTATATTCAGAGAGTACAACTAACACCCTAATCCATTTCAGAACATTTTCATCAATGCAAGCAGAAACCCAGCACCACTTACCTATCACCCACCAAGCCCCTCTCTTCCACAGCCCCTAGCAACTACTGATTTACTTTCTGTTTCTACAGATTTGCCTGTTCTGGATATTTCATATAAATGGGATCGTATAGTTAGTGGCCTTTCCCATTTGGCTTTTTCCACTTAGCCTTGTTTATATTGTTCACCCATGTAATTGTAGCATCTTAGAATAAGAAAAAAATTGAGAGCCCTGGCTGATGTGGCTCAGTGGATTGAGGGCTGGCCTGTGAACCAGAAGGTTATAAGTTTGATTCCCAGTCAGGGTACATGCCTGTGTTGCAGGCCAGGTCCCAGTTAGGGGTGTGTCAGAGGCAGCTGATCTATGTTTCTCTCTCACTCCCTCCCTTTCTTCCTCCCTTTCTCCCTCCCTTCCCCTCTCTCTAAAAATAAATAAATACAATCTTTAAAAAAGAAGAAGAAAAACTGAGAGATCATCTTGTTGCTTCAGTTTACAGACAAGAAAACTGAGGCACGGGGTGGTGGCCCATGCTGAGGTCATCATGGAGTTTATGACAGAAAAGTAAGGCCTGCACCAGGACTTCTTTCGGCTTAGCCCACCAGTGGGTTTCCTTGTGCTTCCCCAGTGGACGTACAAACATGCTCTTTGCTCTAGTTTACAAGCTAACAAATGTACATTCCTCTTCTCTGCTCTTTCCATTCTCAGTTTTTCTCAGCTTTTTTTGTCCCCCTTTTCACTCACTCAGAGGCATTTTAGGTTTGTGAGTGGCAATGGTGCCAGGTGTGTGTGTGTGTGGATAAGTGGCACTTGGCTATTTGACTCTGTTGAATACAGTGAGAAAGGGATGGGGTCAATTTGTTTATGATCTTAAAACACAATATAAAGACTTTCCACAGTACTTATTCTATATTTTACATTAAATATTATCAATAAGTACTAGGCTTAATAATAATGGCATTGGAGTATCTCTTAATAGTTTTCAGAGACATTTCATTCTCTCATTTAATGCTTTTAACAAATCCTAAGGTGGCTAATATTATACAAATGAGGAGATGGAGGCTTAGCAAACTGAGGTGATTTGGCCTTAGCCTCACAAGTGGTAAAGGTCAAAATGGAAGGGGACGTCTGACTTGAAACTTTATGGTCCCTTCACTTATGGTGTAGGCCACTACCCGGACTTACTAAAATTCTTGACAGATTGAGTGCTCATTATTTTTCAGTGATTCTTCTGTGAGTACCAGGTGTGGGCTGGAGGGCCAGCCCAGTGTTACAGGACTCCTCCAAATAAATGTGATACTCCCATTCCACACAGCCTCTCTGATCTGGTCTCTACCTGGTCACCTCAGGGATGTTCATCTTGTGATCAGATCTTATTGGATACCCCTGTACCTCCAATCCACTGTGCTATTACTCTCTCATCAGCAAATCACTTTAGTTCTTCACAATTGTCTCTTAATGTCCCTTTCCCTTTCATCTTTAACTGAAACTTTTTGAGAACAGTTCTTTGCCCTTGGCCCTGATCTATGGT